TTGCTCTTGGCTAGGAAGAACCAAAATTGTGAAAATGGACATACTCCAAAAACTGTTATAGAGATTTAATGCAATTCCAATCAAAATAACATTGACATATCTCACAGATCTAGAGAAAATACTCCTAAAATTCATTTGGAAACAGAAGACACCTAGAATAGCAAAGGCAATTCTGAGTAACAAAGGCAAGGTAGGAGGCATCTCAATTCCTGACTTGAAACTATACTACAAAGCCACAGTGATAAAATCAGCATGATTCTGGCAAAAAAATAGACCTGAGGATCAGTGGAGCAGATTAGAAGATACAAGCACAACTACAAAGATACTCAGTCAACTGATATTTGACAAAGGGGTTAAACATGTTCATTGGAAGAATATAGCCTCTTTAATAAATGATGTTGGAAAAATCGACTTTCCCCATGCTGGAACCTGAAACTAGACCCATACCTATAATCATGCATAAAACTAAAGTCTAAATGGATCAAAGATCTAAATATTAAAACAGAAACACTAAATCTACTGGAAGACAAGGTAGTTAGAAGTCTTGGAGACACAGGAGTAGGTAGAGAATTCATGAACAAAATGCAAACTGCACGGGAGGCCCTTCAAAGAATCAACAACTGGAATCTCATGTTATTGAAAAGTTTCTGCACTTCAAAAGAAATCACCAACAGAGTGAAAAGAAAACCCACAGAATGGGAAGGAATTTTAGCCAGCAACCCCTCAGACAAAGGACTTAGATCCAGAACATATAAAGAACTGAAAAACATCAAGCCCCCCAAATTCAAAGACCCTCTCCAGAAATGGGCAGCTGAGATGAACTCACAGTTCTCAGATGAAGATATACAAATGGCAAATAAATACATGAAGAAATGTTCACCATCTTTGGTCATTCAAGAAATGCAAATTAAAACAGCACTGCAATTTCATCTCACTCCAGAAAGAATAGCTGCCATCAAGAAATCAACTGATAACAAATGTTGGCGAGGCTGCGGGGAAATAGGAACACTGCTCCACTGTTGGTGGGAGTGTAGACTGGTGCAGCCACTTTGGAAATCATTATGGAGATTTCTCAGAAGACTAGGATTGGAAGTTCCATTCAGCCCAGGTATTCCCTTCCTGGGTATTTTCCCAGAAAACCTGAAAATGTCATGTCACGGTGACATATGTCCACCCATGTTCATAGCAGCACAATTTGTAATAGCTAAATCTTGAAAACAACCAAAATGCCAACAACTGCAGAGTGGATGAGAAAAAGATGTTGTATTTTTATGCAATGGAATATTACTCAGCTATAAAAAGGAATGACCTTGAGGCCTTCATAGGTAAATGGAGGCAACTTGAGACTATTCTCATAAGTGAAATAATTAAAAATCATATTTATAAATATCACATTGTGTCTCTAGTGTAAAAATTAAAAAGATCTGTAGGAGTAATAAAACCCAAAATGTGTAATTGCTAATGTCAGAAGGAGAGGAAAAGAAAGTGCTCTAAAGGATATAACTGCATGTGTGTGTAAGTGTGTAGGACTGATAACCATATTACTACATTTTTGTTGGATCATTGAGCAGAACTGTTTGCAGTCTCACTGTTTGAATGTCCACTTTGTGTGCTTTAATTTTGTAACTGAACAACTATTTCCAAGATGACAGTATGTAATTTGTCAAATAGTGATTTCTTAGTGTTTATTTTATTTTTTGGAATTTTTTGTTATTTCCTCCCTTTGTTTCTGTTTTGCTTCTTTTTCTCTTTAAATAAAATTTTAAAAACTGGTATAATAATACAAATAAATGGAATCTCAGAGTTGGGAAGAGCTCTAGTGGATGTCTATCCCAGCCAGTCCTTTGTGTATATATTCCCTTGGCAACCTCCCAGGTGCTCAGTTGGTCATATACTATAATGGTAGAGAGAGATTAATTCTATTCCTTCTGTTTTGGTATCTCTTCCATATGTGATGGCCCAGCCCATACCACAGTATTATGCCCAGCACAAGAGAGCATATTTATTGCAGTGGTTTTCTGATAGGAAGATATTTATGTGGCTTATTGGAGTATTAGTGAGAAATATAGTTTATTATGAGGATTAGATTTTCAGTTCCTACTGGGATGCTAGACACAGCCAATAAAATTGAGTGAGATGAAAAAGATGTGCTCTCATGTTTGTGTACCAGATGCTCCACTGAGAAGATCATTGAGAAACACATTGAATATTGAGGCCTGTCAGGCAGGAACTTTGCAGTGAGATAATTTTGGTGCCAGAAAAGACCTGGGAAATGATCCAGACATTTGAAATGGCCCAAAAAATGAGAAAAAATGTCCAAAGTTTGAGGACATCAGCCACAGGAGCAAGTTAATATGGATATGTAGAGAGAATCCTTTCTATGATCTGTTCCTTGTTCTTGAGCTCAGTAGGACAATCAGCAGGTAGATAAGCAATGTCCCTTCAGTATGAGAGCAGCCCTGACAAGAGAGAACAGAACACTGTTTCATGGCACTTGGAGGAGCAGTTGATCTGATTTAAGGAGTCAAAGAAGAATATTCCAGAAGTAGTAATATCTAGGCTAAGGTCTCAGTGACAAGTTCGTCTTGACCAGTCAGGATAGGAGGCTGGATGGAGAAGATTCCAGAGGCAGGAGTCAGCATGACTGTTTCTGGGTGCTCAGGCTTGCAGCAGCATGGGTTATTCACCAATTTATTCAACATCTAATAAGGTTTGTTAAACATCTATTATGTCACAGGCAGTGTTACATAATGGTAAGTTATCAGTTAACAAAACAGGTGATTTCTTTATTTTCATGGAAGTTTTGGGGAGGACAGAGGAAAAGAGATTAGTTCTGTGAAAGAGAATAAGCAAGAGCAGTGAGAAGCAGAGCTTCTCTGAAGTGGCACCCGCACTCACATATGAAGGTGAAGGAGCCAGATAATCAAACATCCAGGTTGGGCAGGAGGAACATCAAAGGCAAATAAGACAAGAGCACAAGAATCTTGGCATGCTGGATAAGCCAAAAGGGGGTTACCATGCTGGTCTGGGGAAGTGAAGGAATAATTCCGTATCTCATTAGCATGGCTAAGATAGAAGGATGGATGATAACAAGAAAAGGAAACCCTGAAGCACAGTGGGCAGGAATATAGATTCGTGAAGCCACTGGGGAAAACAGTATGGCAATTGCCAGTGAGATTAAAAATAGAAATACTGTGTAAGCTAGCAGTCCCTCCTCCAAGGATATGCTGAGCATAGATAAAATCACCTTCTGGCCAAGGTATCTGCATTGTCATGTTGGTTGCAGCATTATTCACAAAGGCCAAGATAATGAGCAACCTGTTCAATAGACAGATAATGACAGAAGAATTGTGGTGTGTGTGCATGTATGCGCCGTGGAGCAGTTCTCAGCCTGAGAAGGGCGACCTTGCCGTTTACTGAACATGGGTGGACCTAGGAGACATGGTGCTGAGTGAAACAAGCCAGACACAGAAAGAAAAACTTGTATAATCTTATTTTCATAAAGAATCCTTTAAAAAGTCAGTTATACAGAAGCAACAAAACAATGATGTCCAAGGGAAGGATATAAGAGATAAAGAGATTCAAATTAGAGGGTTCAAAGTAGCAGATATTTACGGTAAACAAGTCTGGACATCTCATGCACCAAACGAGCAGTCTACTCCATGAAGTTGTATTAGTATTGCAGATTTTTGTTAAATATGTAAAATTTAGTTCCTCTTGTTACACAAAAACTATGTAATATGATAAATATATTAATTTTCATTATCAAAGTAACATTTTAATATCTACATGTATTATATAGCATTATGTTGTAAGTGGCAAATATGACAAATAACATTTATTTCATTTTTACTTATTTATTTATTTGTTTTTTGGTACCGGGGATCAAACTCATGACCTCTCACTTGCCAGGAAGACACTTGTGCCACTGAACTAAACTCCTGGCCCACTTTTAAAAAACAATTCAACATTTGGTTTGAGTTACTAGTGCTAAGATTTAAAACATTTGTAATATAAATGAGTCAAAACACATACACAATGATTCTCTTTAAAACTAGGAAGATTTGGGAAATCTTAGTTGCAAACAAGCTCTGATTGCAACATACAGTGAATGTTTAATTTTTAAAAATTATCACATTACCATTAGTCTCTCTCAGAGACTCCCCTTCACTTGTGACACACTTGTGCCAAAATTCTTGCCATTTCCTGAAGCAGTTGTAGAAGTCTTCTCTATTGAGCATCTTTTCAAAGTGTGACCAAAATAGGGTGAATGCTACTGCCAAGTGGCATCAAATGGAAAGGAGAGCTCACGGAAACACGACCGTGTGTCCTCATTTATTTTATTTACAGGATCTGGCACAGTGCAGCTTCTGGTTCTCTCTGAAGTCAAAATGTCCATGAATAGTAAACATTTTTAATCTATTCAGGGCACAGAGGCAGGTAGAACTGTATAACCAGCCATGAAAGAGGACGTGCAGAGCCTTTTCAGAAAGTGTCAGGAGTGATAAGTGTGTGCAAAGCAAGAAGAATTTTGGGGAGAATCCATGTCAGTATCTTTTACTGCACTAATTTTTTAAAAATGTAAGCATCTATCATATTTTCCAATCATGCTCATGCTACCTATCTCTTCTCTGAAGTGGGACCTGGCTCTTTGTATTTAATAAATGAGATGAAATGATATTTCCCACAGAATTGCTGATAAGGAAAATGTGCTACTAAATATCTTGGACACTTACAGGCAATGTAACAAAATGGCAGTGCTGCCCGGCTTCCCACCACAGTCCACAGTACTGACTACGATTGTCAGAGTGTTTTTTTCCAGGTTCTGTCCTAGTTGTCTGCTTTTAATTTCTTTCATGAATGCTCACTTCTGCAACACTTATCATAATTTTATTCATGGGATTTCTTTTCTTGTTTCACCCTTATGGAGTCCAATATCTGTTACAAAAATGCCTTAAGTCCTTTCTGTGCGGCTGGAACCTGCTAAACTAAATGTCCACAATGTTCTCTTGGTTCCTGGGATGTTCTGTCTCTGTGCTGGATTACAGAGGCCACACGGAGACTCATGGATCTTATTTTTTCCTAGTTAATGGCTTTGGGGATGATGAAGAACTTTCCACATCTTCTGGCAGTGATGAGGATGTGATCAAACAGTTTGAAATTTCCGTGTCCCGGTCCCAGAGTTTTCTTGCTGGAGCCTCTGAGCAAGGAAAGCCCAGCATATTGGGGCAGAAACCAAAACGTACACGTCCACTCTCTACCCAGAAGGAAGACAGCACTGAAGTGTCTGCTGGTGAAGGTATTCCTTGCATCACATTTTCCCTTTATCTAGACTAGGAATAATCTAGAGATTGTTTTTTAGTATTTAAATGCTATACTGTACATCTAAGTACAGAAAAAAAAAAGAAAATGAGGCAAAGTAAACTAAAAAGAGAATACAGAAAGAACAGTACAATATTTCTGAGTTCTTTTCTAAGTAAAGGGCAGGCAGCTCTCTCAAAGCTTTATGACCAGGGCCCTCGGTAGTTACAGGCTCTAGAACAGGGCAGAGTCTGAGAAATACATTTAGTAAATGATAGAGCAGATATCACACATCCACTACTGTGATTTGATTTCAAGGATCTTGCTTCTTGTCCTTTTGGGGGATGAGGCCATTTAAACCAACAAGGAGGCCACGATCATCTCCCTTATTTTCAACACAAGTAGAGAAGAAGGTGACCACACAAGCTGGAAGAAGATGGGAAGAAAAGAAATTTGGATTTAGTGATGTGAAGAGATCAGGTAAAAAAAGAACAAAGAGGAAAAAATAATTAACAAACAGATCCTTGGGTTTTTTTTTTTTTTTTTTTTTGGAGAGGAGGTATGCTAAGGTGCCATCCATCCTTTAGTTTAATTTACTGGCACCAATCAGTATAGCATGTTATGTTGTTAGCACAAGCTAGTAATTGTTGGTGTGTTGTAACCCAGCCACTTTCTGTGACTGGATCTCTGTTGGCTCCTCACACCCTCTGTTGGTCTTTCTTTCTCTGGTGTTATACAGAGCACTCATCTCTCTCCACTGACAAGGCAAATGATAGCTAATGAAAGTTAATAGGAGTTCATTCCCTGGGAATCACTTGTTTAATTCTAAAGCTAATGGCTCCATTTCCCAGCAACTCAAGGGTTTGGGTTCTGATGTGCACCAGTGGCCAGTGTTCCAAGGATTGTGGTAACTACCTAGTCTATATCCTTCCTGGAATTAGCAACAACTTATTCTTTATTACAACTGGTAATTCTGAAGCTTTACCAGATAGTGATAGAAAAGGTAAAATTCCTTCTCCAGGAAAGAAGAAAAAAGTCCTCAATGTCAAATGAATAACAGGTAATTTTTTTTTTTCGTACTGAGGATCGAACTGGTTTGCCAATCCAGCACTTGTGCCACTGAGTTAAATCATTGGCCCTACCATGTAAATTTTGAAAGAAAATCACCAGGATTTTCATAGAAATGGCTACATGCCAAATTTGAGATCACCAAATGCCATGAAATTTCAATGTAATTTTTATTCCTTGGTTATTTTCTGTCATGTATTTTTATTCATCTTTATATTTGTGGATTTATTTCAATGATAAAGAATAATGAAAAGAGTAAAAATGCATCTATAGAGAGAATTTTTTGGAAGGGAAGACAAGTTATCTATTTATGGAGCTATTTCATTCTACCATAAACATATTTACTAAGGTGAAGTTTAATTGTAGATAGTTCTTCCAATTTAAAGTGCATTTGACAGTGAAATTGAAGATAAAAATCTGAAACACAAATGATCTGCAGGCAGGTTGTCTTATGTTTGATCTTAAGTGTGATCATGCTAGATTCGGTGGGGGGATTATTAGCATCGTTATTGTAGGGGAATGGTGCTGTGTATGTCGTTTAGTGTTACCGCACATTGCTTATCCACGTATTACTGATAACAACATGGAAGGTTTGGCATAAGTGATCTGAGCCAGAGGCTGAGTGTGAGGGTTTTAGCCAGGAAATGTGAGATACAGAATAATGGTTCATTCACTGAATTTTTTTCTAATAACCTTATTTTACAAGTTAAGAATAGCTCATTTTTACCATTTTTCATAAAAGGTCAACCTTGTTTTCCTGGTAACATAGAGAACATCTTGATTATCATATCCTGTATAGTTTTGTTTGGGATAATATATCAATAATGACCAAACAAAAAATTAATAGAACCAGTAGAAGCACATGAATATGTCTACCGACAAAGGGTTTTGTGTGTGTGTGTGTGTGTGTTTACCTGTATTTCAAGTGATGTACTGCAAAGAATTGGCTTGTGTGATTGTGAAAGCTGCCTAGGCAACAGATACAGCACTCTGAGTATGTAAGGTAGGCAGTCAGGAAGAGTAGACGCAAATCCCTCAAGCATGAGCTGAAGTTACAGTTCTCAGGTAAGATTTCTCCTTCTTGAAGGAAAGATCAGTGCTCTCACAGTCTTTCAAGTGACTATATAGGATGATCTCCTCCATTAATGTCATCTGGTTATAGGCTTTAATTGTATGTAGGAAGTACCTTCCCAACAACGCTTCGATTATTGCTTGATGGGATAGTTGGCACCTGCAAACCAGGTAGGATGACACATGAAACTGATGACCACAGATGACAAACAAGAGTCTTTATGGTTGGCAGTGATGAAGAAGGGTTGGGAGTACAACAGAAAGTAACTAGATAATAAGGTTTTCTTCCATCAATGTGGGATATGAACTAACATGCTGAGGAATTCTCTGATCAAATAAATCTCATTGATGTGACATACTTACAAGCTTCAATTTCAATGAAACTAGACTACATTTCTCTAAAAACAAGCATTAACTTCCGTGTGTGTTTAAGGTGACCTGGTCTTCTCTCGTGCACAGGCATAGAAGACTGCTTTATGGGATGTGGCTCCCTTCTCTTTTACTGCCTTCAGCGCAGACTTGCTTTTCTAAATTATTACTTGCTTGTCTGTCATGGAAAGTGGTTTGTTACTTTAATATAGTTATTCTGTTTTTCAGCTATGAATAACATTTCAAGGTTTAATGTAGCTGTTGAAAATTCCCTTATTACTGATCTAGGTATTATCACCATAGGAGTTAAAATCATGAGACGATTTTATAGGGTAATTTCTTGGCAAAGTTGTTTTGTGCTAAAATCCTGCTGGGTGCTATACACGCTGATGGATGACCCACTGTTTAATAGGACATTTTATTGTTCATGTATGTGAGAAATGGGTGTGATAATTAGACACTTACAAGAAAATTCTGTTTTATGTTGTAGGTTTTGCACGTGGAGTTTCTCTTGTTCTGACATTTTCTGTGGCTTTTTAAAGTATATTGCCAAATAACTGAAAGCATGAATATAAAATTTTTGTAGTATCCTATGAAGTCTGAACTGAATTATTAAGAATAATAAGTAGGTAGGGGAACTTCTCAAATGGCTTGCTATGGTTTTGCAAAATTCCAAATCAGGGATTTTGTGCCCCAATGACCACACGTGCCTGAAAATGTTTCTATTTGTTCTGCATGGGGGTAATATGTTTTTAAGTGAGGATTCTTGAAGTGTATTATGTACCCCACGATAATCTACTGTTACTTATATACTATGTTGTGACACAACTGGATTCTTCAAATATTAATTGCCTGCCCAGGCTTAAGGTTATCAAGAACCTATCAGCACATAAAGAATCTGCAGTAGATGTATATGTCCGGATGTATTCAAGGACTTCATATTCTTACAGAGGTTATAAGATTAATGGGGAAACAATTCTGATTATTTAATGTGTGCACAAGATCTATATTTGGTATCTACTTTACCCTCTCCCTCATTTGTCCTGTGTGTATATCTCAGGATGAGGGCTGCTGGAAGGGACTGGAGGCCAAAGAGAAAAGACATTTTAAGTACTCTTCAGATGTTTGGGGAAAAGCAGGCTGGAGGCTGTTGACTAGCCAGACCCTGTCAGGTTTTCTTTATCATCCAAGGGCAACATAGAGGGAGAGGAACGAGATAATCAGGGGAATAAAGGGAAGCAGAAAGAGAAGGAGGGTGTAACGCTGAAGCCAGAGAAGAGCTTTGACTCTAATGCAGTTGGGGATGGTTCAGAAGTTGTTGGGACTTTGGATGGAGAAGAAGGAAAGGGCAGGAGGAGGGTCTGAGGGCTGCTGTAGGCAGAAAATACAGAAGTAACATTCTCATGAGCCAGTGAGACCAGAGGTGTCAGTGAAATTGGAAAGCAATACACACAAGAGTTTGCTAGGTTGAATATAGTTCAGGCCAGACAGGTAAGCAGGCTGATCTGTATAGAAAGCCTGTAAGCTGCCACATAATACAGTGTCATGGGTTGACTGTGACTATCTGCTGACCTTTATCACTTTTTACATGAATAAATAGATGTTAAGAGTTTGAATATTGTTGAAGGTTTTAGGGCAGAGATAGTATTTAAACCCAGATCATCTTAACCAATCCTAGTGTTCTATCTATGGATCAAATAGAAACTTGTTACCCAAGAGACCTGCTGAAGCCTTCTGAGGAGAGAATAATACAGTGTAGGTCAGAGAAAGGAGTGGGAAGAATCAGGAAACCTTGTGGGCCTTGCAATGGGTTACTATTTTTGCTTTGCAGATCCATCCCTGGAGTTTGAAGCAATTATTGGTAACAAAAAATGCTAATGTGTTTTTTAATCCCTTTAACACAAATGTCCATGTGATATATTTTTAGGAAATGTTAAACAGCTATAACCCACATCAGAAGTTAATGGACTTTTTGTCTATATGAACTGAGTTTATCCACTGTAGGGGTGGAATTATGTTTCTGCAGGTGTCATTGGTGTGGGTATTTTTTTTTTGTTTGTTTGTTTAAAGTCTTAGTCATTGTGATTAAAATCACTCAGTTTTCCTAGGTAAAAAGGTATAAAAGTATACTTGAAATAGTTTACTTTTGCAAATTTAGATTTGGATGGAACCAGCCAACGGAGTTATTCTGACCTTCTGTCTTGCGAAGAGCACCCTATCTCCACCCCCTCACAATCCTCATGTGAAAGAGGAGATTCCAGGTACTATGTCACATCTCATCAAGAGACCAGCGTGATCCAGAATCTCAGTCATCAGTCCACAGAGGGCGGCTTGGAGATGGAGACAGCTTTTAATACCCATGGATTTGAAGATTCCTATGCCACTGACAGCTCCTCTGTGTGGAGTCCCGAGGTGAGTTACTGGTTTTCCATTGTTTGCTTTAACAGTGAGAACTCATTGGTTTCTTTTCTCTCCCTCCTCTTTCCTCTGTGTCCTTTGCTTTCTCTCCCCCAACCAAATTTCCAAACAAAGGTAAAACTGCCTTGAAAAATAGTCCTAAAATTTTGTGCGAAAAATAAATGTTTAGATGTCTAAAGCCCTTGTGCCTGCCAATAAAAGATTCATAAACAAATTTAAAAATGGGGAAAAATGGTGGAAAATAAATAATGGTAACACAATGTACCCTTCCGGGCCTATTTTTATACAAAGGAATTCTTACTTCCTTAAAGAAACTGTTTTATTTCCTTTATAGTTCTATTTAAGTGGGGTATATTTTATGTATCAAATAATTAGGAATAATTGCAATTGTTCAAAATGAAAATTATTTGAAAATTGAACTAAAATGAAATGAAATGATGCTACAAGTGAAATTGTACATAATATTATGATGAAGATATTTTTGGTTTCATTTTATTTTACTTTTGTCATGCTGAGAATTGAACCTAGGCCTTTGCACACGCTAGACAATGTTTTACCACTGAGCCAAATCCTCAGCCTATGATAAGGATCTTGATATATTAGTGTATTTGTTAGATTTTAATTATGAGAGAGTCTAGGAGGCAACTCCTCTCATTCATCTGTAATGAGATTCTAAATGGTGATATAGCTTTTTGGAATAATGCTGGTGAAACTGCTTCTTCTAAATTTCTTTGATAAGACTAGAGGAGATGATGGTAGTAGCTACCATTTATTGGCACACCAATTACTACATTGCATGTACCATAATAAGAAATCTGTAAGCATCATTCTATCTATATTTAAGGCTATTTTTCTTTTTTCTTTTCTTTCTTTCTTTTCTATTTTTTGAAACAGAGTTTCACTATGCAGTCCAGGCTGGTCTTGAACTCCCAGTCCTCTTGCCTCAGCCTCTCAAGTGCTGGGATCACAGGGGTGTACCACTATGCCCAGCTAGGTTATTTTTCATTAGATAAATTCCTCCTGTAATGATTCCATGACATTGGAAGATACTAATCAGTGGTGTACATATAATTCCTAACTTGAAATTAATTTTAATGAGGAGACAGAGGAAGAGAATGAATTTGCTTTGTATCAGTCTGAGAAAATATACAGGATGAAGCTCTTCATGGGACCTGGGTGGCCATGGGAAGGCAAAAAAACCTGCAGAAATAGAGTCCCAAGACGAAGTGCTGATGGTGTGTGTGTGTGTGTGTGTGTGTGTGTGTGTGTAGAACGGGAGAGGTGTGTATGCCTGCATCTGTATTGTGCTCCGGCCAAGGACCAGAAATGGTAACTCAGATAAGTGGTTTGTGGCTTGTTGAAAGCACTCCTCCCTGTGGAAACTCCCCAGACTGTTAACCTCATCACTTTGTTGAAAAGAAAAACAAACAAAAAAAGAAGTTTGATTCCCCATCATTTTATTGAGTCATATCAAATCTCACACAATAACATTTAAAAATATTCTTTTTGTTTCCTCACCTGAAAACAAGACAGAACAATTTACCTGTTTGTTGACACAATTTCTCTCCCTCCCTCTCTCTGTCTTTCTCTCTCTCTCTGTCTCTGTCTCTCTGCCTCTGTCTGCCTGTCTCTCTGTCCCTCCCTCCCTCTCTCTGTCTCTCTGTCTCTCTGTCTCTGTCTCTGTGCCTCTGTCTATCTGCCTCCGTCTGTCTGTCTGTCTGTCTGTCTGTCTCTCCCTTCCTCTCTCTCTTTGATAATTGTACCATTAGGCGTGAAATTGCTGTTTCTACATAACCTTCCATTTACCTGCCTCCTGGAACTTTAATAGAAGACTTGTATTGAGGGTACTAAATGTTCCCTGACTCCAAAAATACACAGACATCTCTGTGTGCTCCATTCAACCTCCTATCTATTTTGAGACAAAAACTGTAATTTGGTGCTCCTACAGCAGAACTTCAAACCCAGCTCAGAGGCAGTTCCTGTAACTGCCTGCTCTGCAGGCTTGGCTTACCTTTTAAGCATTGATTTATTTGCCTCTCAGCTATGTTAAGAACCCTGTCTTCCCTCTTGTATCTGGCATCGGGAACATATTGTGGGCCCGTTTGCTTTGGGCCACACAAATGACATCAACACTGTCTTACTGAAACAGCAAGCTTTTTCAGTTTGACAGAAAATCTTTAAACCTGTTTGGGTTTTGACAATTTGACGCAAGCATGCCCATCTTAAAGAAAAAAACCAGGATATTGGAGCTCAAGGAACCATTTATTTTGTCCCTGAAGGAAACCAGTCATGTGGTGGGACTACCTGCTAGGCTGATGGATGTTTGAATGCTGCTCTTTAGTTCTGGCAAAAGCCACTGGCTTTCTCCTGCAGGCCTGGGGCTTGGCAGGGAAGTCTACAGGAGGGTGGCTGATGATTTTGAGTGCCCAGGGAGACAGGTGTCCTACTTTTCATCTCTGCTTTTTACTGATTAATTGGTTGGCCTTGAGAAGTTAATTAAAATCTGCCAAATGGGGATAAGAATGAAGAGATTTTTACCTAGCAGGAAGGTCAGATGGATTAGTGGTATTAACAGTACCCACACGAGGAGCTCCTCAGTTGCCTGGTGATAGCTAATGTGTGTTGAAATAATTAATTGCTGTAAAAATACCAACCTTCACAAATCTCTTGTCTCAAATCAACCCAGGAAAGGACTGAAAAATCCAGTTCTCATGGGTCACAGCTTGAATGGGCCTGTCCCCAGCCCAGGTGTTGGCTGGTGCTGTCTTCCTCAGCCTTCTTAGGACAGTCATTGGGGAGCCCTCCCCATGACTCATCAGAAACCCAAAGTGACAAATGGAGAGAGAGTCCTTATTAACTAGAATATTTTCACCTTGGCTTTGAAGTCGATGGCAAACTACAAACTGTTAACTAATATCAAAACCTTTCTAAAGAATGTGAAATTCACAGGAGTCTTTTCCATCCTCGATCTTCTAATTTCTTTTTATCTCACATATTACATGTGGATACCTATGCTGAAGGGTTCTGGGGGAAAACTGGAGACCGTATGGTCCAGTGTAAAGCTTGGAACTTTGAGCATACTGGTAAGGCAGATTCTGGACATACACTGCCAGGGTGTGAGTCCTGGGTAACCCCTTCTGGCCTGTAACCATAGTGGGGAGGGGAGAATACAGTTAGCACTCATCCTTTCTGAGCTTCAGTTTGTACCTCCATGAAAATATTAAATATCCATGAAGATATATAAATACCTACCTCATTAAGATAAGGTAAACATTTAAAAAGATAATGTTTCCTCCTTGGGTTCTCAAGCAGGGCAGAACCCAAGTTTTGTCCTCACTGTGTTAGGAAGTGTCATGCCAGAGAGCAAGAGTGAATGATGAGGGAGAGAGGCAGGGAGAAGAAAGGTCCAGTGTGAGCATGCGCCACTGAGTGGGCCCCCACTGAAGGGGAGCAATTTCTTTCACTTTTCTTTTTTAAATTTTTTAAACATTTTATTTTAAAAAGAAAACAGTAAGACTAATAAAGAATTTCAAAACGAGATAATAGGAAATTAACAATGATTAATATATTGCATATTGTTGTCTTCAGAGTAGTTGCTCAGATTTCAAGACATAGGAATGCAAAATTGATCAAACAATATAAACACAAACTGTTGTTTTCAATGAGCTAAAAAATTAGGAATATAATTATCTTAGCTATATATATATATTTTTTTTTTTCTTTCACATTTTTCTTTTTTCCTTTCCTCCATCCCAGTTGTTCTTCCCTTTTGAACAGTTTCTTCCCTTTTCACAATATCTATTGTACATTTTGTGTATCATTACCTCTTTTAGTTTCTTACACTATGGAGACAATCCAGTGTTTATACGTGTGTTTTTGATTTGTTTCACTTATGAATATGATCTTTAGTTGCATCCATTTACCTATAAAATCTTTGAGTTTATCCTTCTTTATAGCTGAGTAGTACTCGTTTGTATATCTTTCTTATCCATTCTTTGGTTGATGGGCATTTGAGTTGTTTCCAAGACTTAGTTATTACAGATTGCACTGATATAAATGTGGGTACACATATATCACTGTGCTATGCTGTTTCCAATTCTTCTGGAAAGTACCCATCAGGTAATTGCCTGATTGAATGGGACCTCTAATCCTAGGTTTTTGAGGAATTTCCTCACTGATTTACATGGTGGTTGCACCAGTCTATGCTCCACCAACAGTGGAGAAGGGTTCCTTTTTCCCAATATCCCTGCTAGCATTTGTTATTGATTGATTTTTTGATGAGAGCCATTCTTTCTGGGGTGAGATGGAATCTCATCTCTTGAATGAGCAATGATGTTGAACATTTTTACATGTATTTATTTGCTATTTGTATTTCTTCCTCTAAGAAGTGTGTATTTATCTTGGATGCCCATTTTTTGGACTGGTCTTTGAATTTGGGCTCCTGATTTTTTTTGGTGATTTCTTTTTCTTGCAGGACCATAGTTGGAGAAGCTATATAAACTAAATTCATGATGCCTGACCAAGGGAAGGAAAATTTGTTATATGGGACATGATCCAGAACACTCTGGAGTTTACATACATGCTGCAAGCAGAGTTCTATAGCTTTCTTTGCCGTGGAATCACAGGCCACTGGTGATGGCTGAAAATCACACTTGATGAATAGGAAATAAGTTTTTATTAAGTTATGCTAGCCTGAAGCCATGTAATATCCAGACAGGCTATGCCTGTAAAAAAGGATGCACCAAGAGATGAGAGCAAGGAGACCTGAAGTGTTTAAGAATGGCTTTTATAGTCTCTAAAGGACTTGGTGTGGTACCTGACATAAGGTGCAGCTTAGCAGATGTTAACCATTACTGTTTATGTCTAGGTGAGCAATACAGAGATACTCAGAGTAGGCTAACATAGACGAAGATTTCATAGAGATGAGGGAGTTTGAGCAAAGACTCTGACTTGATTTTTGAGTTGACGTAGCTCCTTGGAGACTGCTTCTAATATTATATATACACTAGTCAGTTGTATTCAGAAGTCTCTATAGCAACCACTTTTATCATTGCAAACGAGAACCTCTGAATAGAAACACTCATATATAATGGCATGCTCAGATGAAAAAATATAAGAAGCTTCCCTTATTTTACAAGAAACCTGAATTTTCTTGGCAGGTTAATTTGAATGTTAAATGAAAAGGGCATTTGTTAGATGTCTATTCTATATCAAGTTCACAACGTCTCTATTCAGTTGAGGGAAAAATGCGGAAAGATGAAACCATTTGCCAAATGGAATAGTAAGTAGTGAGTGAGAAGACCTGGCCTTCCTAAAGATGTTTGATTCTAGAGAACCATTTACTTTCCCTGTCACTGTGGGAAAGTTTCATCGATGAATGCTCATTTCAAGGTATTCTATTATCATTTTTAAATGAAGAGCTCTATAAATTAGTAAAGTCTGATGTGCAGTTGCATAAATAACAACTGATTTACAATAAGAATCATTCCAGAAATTAGATACAGGCAAGAGTCGTACCTTTAGAGGAGAATTAAAATTATGTCAACATCATTTATAATTTGTTGATGAGTGGTTCATTATAATGAATGTAGTTCTACTTCTCCTACTGGCTTTCCCTAGGAGCCTGAGATCTGAGCCACTATGGAGAATTGCTGTCCCAAGGTGATATTCCATAAAAAAGAAGCATAGTAGGAGATAGGAAACACCAGTTCAGGAATAGATAGTTATGGAGTCTAGTTTGAAGCAGGTATTTTCATGTTCACTAAAACTTCACAACACTTACCCTATCAGGTAGGCATATTGATATACAGTTTTTATCTGTAGTATGCAGGAAGTGGGCTATCTAGCTAGGGCAAAAAAGCTTGTCAGTGGTAGAATTATGATTTCAATCTTCTGGGTGTTCTGGTTCCAGGTCCAGTATCATATTTTGCTAAATGGCTGTTTAACCTTGTTATTCAAAGTATGATGTAAGTCAAGTATTTCTTGTAACATTTTAGAAATCTCAGGCTCCTCTCCAGACTTACAGAATCAGAGTCGTAGAGTGATTCAGGTCTACAGGAAGTTTAAGATGCAAGCTCTAAACATTTGCTCTCCCATACAGTGAAAATATACTAAAGGATCATCTGCCCAGGACTGTCGGGAGTTTTGTCTGTAGGAGGTTTTGGCTTGCAGAGAACAGGTCCAGGTTAAACCATTTCTCCTGGGGACTCAAAGAAAAGTCACCTGTTGGCAACTGCATGACTGACTTCACTTTAGATTTAATGTCTCAGTGGTAGTGGGCAATTGTGCTTTCGGAGAGTCAGCATATATGAAAACATTTCTCAAAATATAAAAGCTTTATTTACTCATTCCTAAAGCATCCATGCAGGCTTACCATATGTCAGACATTGTGCCCTCCAAGAATTCACAGTCTAATGGAGAGGGATCAGTAAAAATGCTTTTCTAACCACAGAAGGTCATGCACTGGCAGCCAGAAAACATGGGACTCGGAAGGGGCACCAAGGGGTACCAACTTGCCAAAATGTAATTAGGCATTGTCATTTCCATTTCTAATCTCTTTCTCTTCCTGCAACAGGAACAGGATGGGATCAATTTGCAGGTGCCCTCGGGGGTCTTGGAGCCAATCTCAAAGTGCGGTGACCTAGATGTCATCTTTGAATATAGTGTTGCAACCCAAAAGCTCACAGTGACCATTGTGAGAGCACAGGGCCTCCCAGATAAGAACTGAAGTGATGTCAACAACTGGCAAGTTCATGTCGTGTTGCTTCCTAGTAAGAAACAGAGGGGCAGGACAAGCATTCAAAGAGGGCCCAATCCTGTCTTCAAGGAGAAGGTAACTTTTGCCAAGCTGGAGCACAGAGATGTGGCTGCCTGTGCTGTTCGCTTTCGTATGTATGCTGCCCGTAAGATGACCCGTGAGAGAATGATGGGAGAGAAATTCTATCTCAGCCACCTGCATCCAGAAAGGGAAATGAAAGTGACTCTGGTCCTGGAGCCAAGGAGCAATATAAGTGTGAGTATGTTAAATGATGCTGCTAATGATGTGGTGTCTGAAGACCTGGAATTGTCAGTCTTTGATTTAGTACAGTCACCTTGTGAATTCAGAGACCTTAATTTAATTTTCCAATTGGCTGTCCTCATCCTTACAGGCCCTGATTTGCACTTCATAGTACGATGGGTCTTTCATGCCTGTCTTCATCATAATCCGATGGACGTGTTCCCAGTTCATTTTAGGAAATTGCCCCAGTAGTATGGTAAAGGGCATGGCACAGCCTAGAGAGGCAGATGGCTTTCTCACTGGCGGATTAGTGGTCACCCCTCCCACTCTCAGTATGCATTATGGTGTGCCTCAGAGATGGGACTTTAGGGGGAAGATTCTTAACAAGCATAACAGAGCAGTTTACAGCAGCAGCCCTGAACTTCAGCTATTCTGAGGGCTCCATTTATAGGATTGGTCTTCTCCCATGTGTCACATTCTCTGCCTGCTACAGAGTTTCAAGAAAAGACACCATAGCTTGTTTATGTCTAGGCAGCCCATTCATCTCATGGGTATTTCAGCTTATTTGAAAATCCCCTTTTACGATACCATGGAAAGATATTGGGAAAGCTGTGGGTCATTTATTCAAAGATGTTTACTGTCAGGTACTGTTGAGGAAAAGCCCTTGCAGAACTAAACAGGTGCTGATCCACCCTTGAGGTGCTTATGATGTAGTGGAGGGAGTTGTTAATCAGTGAATCAAAATAGGTGAGGAGAGAGAGTGACAGAGGCTACTGTTTGTTGAGTGAGGCTTGGGGAAATTACTTTGAGGTGATGTAAAAAATCTCAAGCAACTGAGGTGTGTGGAGGCTGAGGATTGCAGACCAAAGGAATGGTGCATGGAGGCGTTTGGAGGACAGGAGGGCCTTGTCATTTGTTGAAGAAGGACAAATGAAGGCTGAAGCATAGTGGTGAGAGATCTGTCCATTTGATTTCTCACAGCATCTGTGAGTCTTCAGACTTAAAATCCTGATTTCTGCCTCCCTAAATTTGTTCTGCTTGCCGGCTGTCTTCCCTGTCTTGCCTAGAGGCAATGACATCCTTTTTGTTGCTAGGGCCAAAATCTCAGAGGTTATCTATGACTTCTCTCTTTCACCTGAAAAAAAATTTATTTTACTTCAGATTTTATTTTGGCAACACTGGAAAATAATCCAGGCCTTCATACTGAGCCATAACTCTAGTTGTTTTTATCTTTTATTTTGAGACAGGGTCTCACTAAATTACAAAGCTGCCCATCTAAATTACAAAGCTGCCCATTCTGGACTTGAACTTGGGATCCTACTGGCCCAACCTCTCAGAGAGCTAGAATTAGAGACGTTTACCAACATTCCCAGCTCACACCAAGTACAGTCAGAACCTGGCTCTCTGCCCAACCGAGTTAGGCTTCTGTGGTCATTTCTTTGCTTCTGCCTTTGTGCCATCTGAACTACCCTTGATATGGAGGCCAGAAAGGGTCTGTTAAAGCATTAACCAGCCGCTATCTCACCTCTACTGACTGCCTTGCTTTTCTCAAACTCTGAGTAAAGTGTACCTGCAAACATGGAAACCAGAAGCCATGGCCACAGAGAGAAGACCTTGTACTGTAAAGCAGAGGAATAAGACTGATCATATCCGTATGTGCATATCCATATCAAGTTATGTGCTCTGTGTTAGGGGCACAGACAGATAGGGCAAATGAGAACAATCTGAAGTAAATTTTAAGATAGTAGTTCTTTTATTCATCAACTATTTGCTGAGCAGGCTTGTGTTAGTCTATGCATTGTACACTGAGGGACTTACCTGCCAGAGCCCTGTGCAATGGGACTAACAGTAGGTACAGCAATGGGAGGAGGCAAGTGGTGGATTTACCATCACAGAACCTGCTGTAGAAGCACAGGGACCAGGTGACCCTAACCTAAAAAGAAGCACGTGGATTTTTATCTCACTCATAGCAAAGTCTATAAGGCACTTTTCAAAATCACCTAGTTCTGCATTTTATAAACTTTCGATAAAAGCCTGGGACTCTTAAAGAGATGCTTATGATTTGAATAAATGGAGCTTCCCAGTAGACATGCAGAATGTTTGGCTGCTTTCATTGGTTTTATTTATTGGGTGCCAAATAAGCAGGTAACCTCCCAGCAAGGGTCCCTCCAAGCTAGGGTGATACCTATCCCTGGCCTTTAGTGACAATCAGTATGCTGATCTACCTTGTTCTCCTCCTGATGTGTCTGGTGAAAAAGCTGGTGCTCCAGAGAAGCTAGCATATGAACATAAATGACAGAAAGCTTGGGCTCTTTCCTGGGCTTATTCAGTGCTTGTTAGATTGCTGAGATCCAAAGTTCATGCATCATTTTTCTCATCGAACAGTTACAAAGGTGCTCAATGTAATTCATTTCTTTTGGAAGCAAAATTTAGAATTTGGTATATATTATACCTAACAATCTTGAGAACCTGAACTGTGCTGGTCAATATCTAATGGCCATTTCTTTTTTATCTGAGAAAGAATGCCTCCTGAATGGCCACATTCATCAAGAGTTTGCAGAGAACAGAAACAAAACTCAGGCTTGGAGTGGATGGGTTCCATAGAAACACTCAGGCACAAATTATACAGGAGGGAATTTTGGTCTATATTGAATATATTATTAGCTCTCCGTGTGTCTTGGAAGGCTTGATTTATACTAGTAATAATATCTTTGTCTGTTTTGTCTTTAGAAAGGAAATATTGAATGGAGACAGCTCTTGGAACGAATATGTCAGCTAATGATGCAGGGAATCTCATCTGTGGCTGTACTCCCCGAGCACATTGTAATTCACACTGAGTGCACTGTTAGTAATCTTTGGCAGTCATTGAGATAGGGTCACAATTTCACCAAACATAGTATTGGCTTTCTCTAAGAGACGAGTGCAGCGCAGCCCAATGGATTCTTTGTTGTTCTTCTCCTCCAGAGTGGAGAGTCTCCGCTCAGCCCATCTGCGGTTTCTCACAGCGATAGTGCTTCATCCATGCAATCGTTGTCACATGGCAGGGCACCAGAGATACTGGTGGGGCTGTGTTATAATGCCACAACGGGCCGATTATCTGTGGAAATGATCAAAGGGAGCCATTTCCGAAACCTCGCTGTTAACCGAGTGCCTGGTGAGTGTGTCTGTTCCCCCAGCTCTGATTATCCTGGAGGCAAGTAGAAGGTTGTATCTGCTTTCATCTTAATTCTTTAACTTTTACAGTAAAAATTATCTTGGTATGGCTTAGGCAAATATTCACAAAGCAATATCCCTGGATTTCTAAATGGCTTTCTATTTAATTAGCCCAAAGGCTTCTGTGGTATCTAGATGCACCTTAACATGAAATAGACTAGTTTGTGTGTCTGTATTGGTTAAAGGAAAAGAATGATGTCTTTTTAGAAACATAATATGAATGAACAGTTTAAAACTTCCGGTATGTCCCAGACTCTCAAGTGCAAAGAGGCAGAGCTCTGATTTTGGAGGGAGGCAGAATTGGGATGGAATTCCAGCTCTAGCTCTTTTACTTATCTGTTATCTTTTATGAAACTCAGTTAACTTATCCATGAGGGTGGGAAAGGAGAAGAGATCTTTATAATACTTTGTCATAGTATTATTTTGATATTTAAATCAAATGATTTATGTAAAAGGTTTAACCTAGTGCCTAGGTACTACTAGACCCTCACACATAGTGAGCATACAAGGAATGGTAATTGTTATGATGATGATGATGGAGAAGGGAGGTGGGGAGGCAGATCAGGTGAGATGCAGGACTGTCTCAGCAGAAATTGCCACTGTAGAGGTCACCACTAGAAAAAAGGAGTCAAGACATACCCCATGGTTATAACCCAGGGTTAAGCAAATCAGACTCAGTTACTGTTGCTAATTGCCTCAACTTGGGCAGTTGGGTGCTCAACATTGGAATATGCTGCTAAAAATTAGTCCACTTTATAATGATCTTACCTGTCAGCAAAGAAATCTTGAACACAGTATGCAAATGATTTTTGTCTCATATTTGCCTCTGGACCTGATGCAAATACAGTGGTACCTCAGTTAGTGAACTTAACTCATTCTATAATTCTGGAAAAGAGGCCACATTTATGTTCATGTGGGAAAGATGGTTATGGTCTTGTTTGTCACTTGATGCAGAGGTCTCAAAAAAAACCCCAAATTTTGCCAGATGCTTCTGTTTGTGAACCAAATTGTTTGCAAATAAAAGTGTTTGTGAATCACAGTGCCACTGTACTTTTAATTGTAGAAATCTAATTTGTGTATTGAACGCTAGCTGCAAGAGAATCTGAAACATGTTGTTGACTCTCTAGCCTTTCATGTAGAGGAAAAGTAAAATAGAAGTGGTTACAGTGGAGGGCAAGGGCCTGCTGGCCATAGGTCCTAAGTCTTATTAAAAGGAGGACAAAATCAACTCATGTTGTAGGTTGAAAGAGCCAACAGGGTCCGCCCTCACAGCAGCCAGGTGAGCAAATAGAAAAGGATCAATTCCTGCTATTGAGTCTGGGTTCTCATTCTTTTTTGCTCTTCACAGTGCTTCAGACTACAAAACATAAAGCATCTGTTATAAGTGGGTATCTTGTTAGTTGAGGTGTATTAAAGCCATTAGAGCAAATTAGGAGAGAAAACCTTTGAGTGGCAGCAATGACCAGATGCATGACCCACATTTTGTGTCAACACTCAGAGCCAGGTGAGAGCTATTTAGAATGCATAATAGATGCTGATTATTAATTGCACAGCTAAAATCTCTTAGCTACATATAGCTTTGTTTTCCACAATAGCTCTGAATTTACTAAAGATCAGCATTTACTACTCTTTTTGAGCTTTTGCCAATCTTTTTTCCTATCCTTCTGGAGTATGGTAAGGTCTAAACAATTTTTTAGGAGATAAAATGCCTAGCAGTGGTGGAGCTAAAGTGCCTAATGAAGATGGTATTCACACAGACATGATCTATTCAGGCCAAGATGTAAAGCACTACTTTGTGTTCTGGGTAGTAGCAGCCAATACAGGGCACTGAATCAAGCAGAGGCTGATAAACTAAAATGTAAATTTAGGCTCCTTAGTTACTAAACTGTGAGTTAGTAAACTGCTCTGAATCTGTTTCCTCATCTGTAAAATGAGGGGAGGGCCTTAAGAATATACGCTTTATAGGAAGGGATATTACAACTAAAACTGTGACTCTGAGGGCAGTACTACTGTACCTTCCCAAATTTCTATACAAAAGAAAATTCTTGTAACAAATATTCAAAATTGTGCAGGAGAAAAAGGCAAGTTCTAATTTAGAAGTTGATTTGATTCCAGAAGTTTAAGTCAGTGTGGCATTTAGTACATGATTTGTCATAGACAGAGTGTTGCAATGTAACCTACAATATAATCGACACACTGTATCTTTGCAACTGAAGTATTAGAAAACAATGCTGTTGTGTAGATACTAATTAAAACAGAAATCCAGTACTGCAGACAAAAGTTTTTTTGTGTGTTCAAAATGCTGGTACTTGAGGAAAAGCCAGTTTAATTAGGAGGGTATGAGAAAGTAGAAAGTTTCTTTGTGGTGCTTCTCAAAGGGACCTCTTGGTACGTTCAGGAGTCATAGTTGTGGTGGCATCGGTTTTTCATTATGGCTTGCCTCATTATCACACTAGAACTGCTTTGACAGTTATCAGGCAAGCTCAGGATACATTTTTAGCTCCCATATGGAAGAGAATAAGAGTTTTATGAGGTAAATGAGCAGAGCTGAAAGAAGGGGGGGCGGGATAAAAGAGAGCCAGGAGATGAATGGATCTGTGCGTGGGGAATAGTGGCGGAAGCAATGCCAAATGTGCTGCTCCCCAGGGAGGTGGGGGAGTGCAGCAGAGTTCCGTGTCAGAGCTCAGCCCAGGGCTGCCAAGAAGGGACAGGCATCTGAGCAATGTGAGCAAGGGTCACCACTGTTTCAGATTCTCAGCTTAAGAATAGAGCAGGTACATTACTAGGGTTATGATCATGGAAAGAATGGTGCTCAGGAAGGAAATGTGCAAAGGAAAATACGTTGAACCTGTCTACTGGAAACATCCACTGTCTAGCGTTACAGTTTTGCACCTTGCTAGAAACAGAGACAAAGGCTGAGGTTTAAGGTTGACAGTCTTTTGCCTAAGACTGTTTCCTGAAAGAAATGATAACTTTGAACTTGCCTACTTGACCCAGATGATTGTTTTAGTATTTTAAGATTTTCTCCCTAAGTAAGTTAGAGGTGTTAGACAAACACTAGATGAAGTTCTTACCTTCTTAGTGTCTTAGAAAAAACAAACCACTAAGATGTGACTCCCACTCCTAGCCACCCCTGAGGTGAAATGCTTAGGAAAAACAGTTGGGTGGTGTGGGTTTTACTCTAATAGGGAGAAGCTGATGGGGCCTATGGCGAAGTTTCCACTAGCACCAACCATCTCTCTACTACACCCTCTGTCTAGTCTCCTCACAGACTGGCTGAAGTTAAAAAGGCTGTTGAGGATGTGAAGAATACATTTTTGGTGTGAGTAAAAAATGGAACAACCACTTTGGGGAAAAGATTAGGTACTTTCTTGTACAATAATAAAACATGCACTGAGAATCTAGAAGTTCCATTCTTAGGCACTGACCCATAAGTCAAAAACACTTCTTGTACAAGAATATTTATAGCATCTTTATTCATAGTGGCAAAAAACAAAAGAGTGTCCACTGGAAAATTATGTATTTATATAAAGGAATACTATTCAGCAATAAAAACAAAATGAATTTAGGCATTCAGCAACATGGAAGAATCTCAAAACCTAACTGAGGGCCCACTTCACAATTCCTTTGATGTAGAATTTAAAACAGGCAAAGATAATCTATAGCAGAAAAAAGCAGAGGAGTAGTTGCCTCCAAAATGGTATCTGTGCCAAGAAGTACTTTGGAGGGATGTGAGGCAATGTTTTGGAGAGAGGGAAATGTTCCCTGTCTTGGCAGCATTGTGGCCAGTGAGCTCAGAGGCTTTTGTGACTGACAGTATAGGGTTTTTTTTTTTTTTTACATTGGTGTGACACTTTAAGATCTAATATATAGATCTGACTTTTCCTTGAATAGGATAAAAGAGTAACAAGTAACTGACACTGAGGGCATCTCCTGTCACATCCTCTTTAAACCACATCTATCTCAAACAAAAGTGTGTGTGGGTCATGTTTTCTACTCCAATTTTAAGCTTTTTCTCTACTTATCTAATGTAGATAGTAGATCTGTCAATCAATCACTCAGTCATCTTTTGGTCATTATAACATGTTATAAAATGATACATTTTTTTCAGTCACATAAGTGAAGTAGGGAAGTTAAAGACAATTTAAAAATTACTGGCACTAGCCTATTCATAATTCATATTTAAATGAGGCAACATCATGAAGTAATCTTAGCTCAAATCAAATAACAATTTGCCAAACACTATTGTAATCATTTTCAAGGTATATCTCCCTTAGCATGCACGGTCAGTGTCCAGAATCACTATTATTGCTGTCAAGAGGGAACAGGCTACTTTCCAAATCTGCCAGTGGCAAAGGGTGCCCTCTAGGTCTGCACACGGCTGATGGGCTGGGATAAAGGAGTGTGATTTGTGGTTTCTGGCAGACATCTGACATGCTGATGTCCATCTGCAAATGCTTTTGAAAAGATTATCCATAAGAGTTAGAAAATGTTCCTAACTTCTGGATTTGGCTTCACGAGAAAGCCAACCACAATTATCAGCATTGTTCTGTTCTTATCCCAGGCCTGCCACCCAGTTACGGTGGTATTTTGACATTTGAGTTAACCACTCCGAACTTAATTTCCTTCTCTATTAAGTGGGGTTGACAAGGGAATAGTAAGGGCACATGTGCTATGTTTAAAAAGTTAGCTGTGGCAGGTTCTCCTTCTCCATCTCTTTCTTTGTTATGCTTCCTTCTCCTGTGTCCCTGAGCTGTGTATATATATACACTTATAAGGGACCTTGTCAAAAGCTATCATTAAGATGTCCCCTTCAGTTAAAAACAACGAGTTCCTCTGGTTCTCAGCGTGTGCACGATTAGCTGCACGTGATAATTAAATCTCAAATGATAATACTTAACAGCATCAGTTATTAACCTTGTTAGGCAATCACAACAGCAG